TAACAAGTTTGTAAAATTCAAGGAATCTTAAAAAATATAATGTCAAACAAAAAAAAAATAATGCCATGAGACTGATACCTTAGCAATAGGTTCACTTCCACCTACCTGTCTGCTTTCTGTCATGAGCCTTGGTCTACCTCTAGGTCTCTGAAATTGACATATTTGTTCAAAATTCAGAAACTATAAAAATAATATAAATATATAATTCTTAACAACAAAATATACCTTAGAGCTAATGATCCTGGTGGACTGTTTGTGTCAGCTTCTATATCGTGGTCAGTGGCCCATTTTCTTCGAATCTTCAGGATTGGCTTTTGCTCAATTTAACTGGCCGCCTACTCCCTGCGGATAGTGTTTGGTCTACCCTGTTCGGGTTGACGGCTTGGCGTTTGTGGCATTGGAGGAATCTTACATTTTTTAAACGTTTTGATACGACAGTGGATGGTCGAGTTCGAGAGGTGTTGGCTTGTTCCTCTCGTGTGAGCGCCGCTGTGGAGAATAGCCAAAGGATTGGTGCGGGCACCCAACGTGAGATGCAGTGGCTTTCTTGGTCGGCTCCGCCAATGGGGACTTTGAAGGTTAATACGAATGAAAGTTATGTCCCGCCAACAGGGATGGCCCGTGCCGGGGAGTCATTCGGGACTACTGTGGGAGTTGGGTTAATGGTTTCACGATGAATATTGGTTACTATTCTATTGTGGGAGTCGAACTCTGGGGTTTGTTCCAGGGCCTGCAACTGGCGTGGGATATTGGTGCTCGTAAGATTATAGCAGAAGTTGACAACCATGTTATTATAGCTATGGTCCGTCGAGAGGATATTTGTGGGCCGCATAGTAGCCTTGTTCAGGGTATTCAGGAGTTGATGGGTCGAGCTTGTGAGTTAGAGATCGTCCATGGGCATCGTGAGACAAACTTCGTGGCAGATTTTCTGGCTTCTTTGGCAGCTCAAGGAGCGAGTGGCTTGCACCAGTTTGATCGCGCTCCGGCTGCGGCAGTATTGTGGTTAACTCACGATATCGCGGAGTGTCTCACTCTCGTCGGGTCGTGATAAAGCGATAACAATATCGCTTCCTTTCCTGTACAAAAAAATAAAAATAAAAAAAAAAAGGATGAGAGAAGAATTGAAGGGCTTGATAGTTGGTCAGATTTTGATTTGTTGGAGACATAATTTAATTTATAGAGGAGGAGGTTTAGAAATAATAGCCCAACCGCTAATTAAGATTGAGGGGAATATATATACGCATATACTCATGCACAGGGAAAAATTGGCGATTTCGTCCTGTAAGTGGCACCCATTTGAGGTTTGGTCCTTTCTGATACCCACTGTTAGATCACGTCATGTAAGTGCAAAAAAACCTGAAAATTTGTCCTGCCACCGGCTAAAGCAGATAATTCTTATCGACTAGTCTACGTGGAATTTTTACCTCTATTTTTTTGAGTTATAAGGCTGACGTGGCATGATTACAAAAAAATAGAAAGAAGAGATTTCGAACCCAGGTTAATGGGCATTCAAGTGGCCTTATGAGCAACTTGACTTAGTACAACTTAAGTTATTTTTGTGACTAAACTTATATATCTACTAAGAACATTTTATTATATATTTAGTTACCTTGGTTAATTAAATTTTTATTATCGTTAATGTTGTTTTTATACTAATTTATGAAATTAAATTTAGTTATTTTTTTATAAATTAAATAAATATTTACTAAATAATTAAATATATTAAATAATATAATTTATGTAACATATTGAAATAAATATATATATATATTTATATAAAATTATATTCAATAGTTAAATAATAAATTAATTAAATAATATATTTAATATTATATATAAATAATAATATATTAAATAACAAAATAAATATATTAAAGGATGTGCATATTAAAATAATATATACTAATGAATAATTACGAAATAAATTATATTAAACTAAATATATACTAAATAAATATTTAATATTTTTAATCAAATTTTATTTTTATATTAAATAAATATTTACAAAATAATATATATATATAAATTTAATAAATAAATATATAATATAATATAATAAATAAATATATTAAATAATATAATATGATAAATAAATATTTACAAAATAATTATATATATGAATTTATAATATAAATAAATATATTTAAATCATTATGTTAAATATAATTAAAATTAAATAAGGTGAATAAAAACACAATATAAATGATAACAAAAGTTTCATTAAACAAAATACTATATTTAGTATTTATTTATTTTAGTTTCATTATCTATTAATATATAAAGAGGGGAGGCATTTATTGGAAAAAAGATTCAAAAAAATCAGCAAAAAAAAAACATTTCAGTTTCCCGCCCACAATTAATAAAATGATAAAAATTTTTGGCTAGAAAGTTATCCATGCGCGCCAAGTACAGATTCAAAATTTTTGGATATATTTGGTTATTTATTTTGGCCTTTTTTGGACTTATCTATTCATATAATCATATTCTTAAAGATTTGTTCAGATTTTTTTTATAATCACGTGTGCTATATAATCCTATTTATATAAATACATGTTTATCATCTCTTCCAAAAGTTCACTACACAAAAATACACACGTATACATCGACTACACAGAAGAAAAAAAAATGGCGTCCATCTTTGGCACACTTGAGGTCGTCAATAGGGCCAACCATCCTTTATTGACATTGAGAGTAGTCAACATTTTCGAATCTCATTTCGATCTGCAGTGCAAGAACTATTTCCAGATCATGTTTCATGATAAAGAGGTAAGAATTTCAAATTTGTTATATAATATAAAGTATTGCATAAATTATATTAATTAATTTTATACCTTTACATTGTAGGGTGCACACATAAATGGCATCATACGTTCACAAAACATGAGATTCTATCGAGATATCTTCAAAGAAGGC